CCCCCCCCCCCCTTCCCTCTTACTCCCTCCCTCCCCCCTCCTGAGCCACACCTGCACTGCCTTGCTCTCAGCCCTAGGGGGCAGCAAACACCAGAGTAGCCAACAACCACCTCCAACCCTGGCTGGTTGGAGGTGGGAGATGTTACCCTAAACAACTGTTACCAGGGCCCTGATTGAGTCCAGCTCACAGCGTCCCCTCTTTGTTCGTTTCCTGAATTGATCGCTCTTCTATTCCACCTGAACCAAATCTGTGATTGTTTCAAGAGACGACCACACGTCTTCTTTGTCACTGAGAAGAGCTGGGGTCAGATTCTTATCCCGCCTACCAGCTAAATTAAAGGTGGCGACTCCCTCATCCCTGTGTCTGAGGTCAGGGGTAACAGGACTGCTGCTGTATTAGTAGGTGCTGCCTAGACTCTGATCCTAGATCAGTTCTACCTGCAACATTGAACCTCCAAGACCCACGGCTGGTGATGTACATAAGCTACTGTTGTCAGCTTGCTAATGTCCTATAACCAAACGCTTCACTTTCCCTCAAGACACACAGAATATGAATTATTTTCAGATGATACATTGATGCTTTCGGTTGATTGTTCTTTACCAAAAAGTGAATCTGCACAGAATATATTATTTACATATCGGCAAGAAGCCTTTAAATCTGGTAAAGGAACAAAAACATGCTTGTTGCTCTTTAGTATGAAAAACTAGCAAGTGATGCCAAATAGTTTAAAAAAAATTTGCCATATTTATGTTTAAAAAATAAGAGACTCAAAATCTCAATCTTTGTGTGTTTCAGTATTCCTGATATTTCTCTGCAGCGGTTTGGACAGTAAAGTCCTCACTTCATGTTTCCTACAGTACATCACTTTGAACTGCTCTAGAGGGTTAACATCCAACATCAACAAAGTATTCACTCTGCAGCCAACAGAAGAGCGAGCACCCCACTATTTACACTGTTCCTGTTTAAAGCCAAGACGCCCCATTAGGAGGTAAAGTCATCAACTCATCTTGTGCCAACGCACCCTCAGATTTTTGTTTCTGTGGGTTTATTTAGAAAAAATACAGTTTATGGTGAACTTACACGCACAGAACAAAAGATTATTCACACGCATCAAATCTCGTGTCACATTTAGTCAGTTTAGCAGCCAACCAGATGTTGGTCTTAAAGCCAGAGGAGACGCCCTCTTTGACGGACAGGATGTTGTAAACAAAAAGAGTTTGAGATCATTGTCGAGTGAAAGAGAAGAGACACTTCATTCCTCCTGAGGAATTCAATAATAGCCATCGACTGAGCTGTACACGCTCTGCTGTCATCAGATGATATGACGACATACACAGGAACTTTAAAGTCTTACACAAAAAAATGTAACGCGTGACCGCTATTGCAGTATTCAAATGTCACTGGCTTCTACAGCACATGCGTATCAAATTTTCGTAAGTAGGTTTATTTATGAAGAGTTAGTGAGTCTCATCTTTAACAGGCTGTTTGAAGTGGAATGATTATAGAAAGAAGCATGTGTTGAGATTGTTATCAGCAGAACCACTGCAGATCTGACAAAAGTGTTCAGGCTGCAAGTTTAAAATGTATGATGGATGTTATCGTCTCAGGTCAAAGCAGATCTGCTCCTAATGTACAGTAAATGCTACTGAAACGTTACTTATTCTCACACGCACACACACACACACCCTTTAAGTTGTGTTCACATCATTTTACTTTTTTTATGGCACTTTGATGTTTGTGTTTTGATGTTTGAAATATCTAAAAAGAAATGAAATAAAAAAACAGTATTGTTGAAGCGTTGAAGAACAAACATATTCATTATTACGTGTAGAAGTAAAAGCAAGACAAAAAGATATACTCTTAGTTCAGTTTCTTTGTTGGATTCAACTGAGCGTTGCCAGTGTGGGGGAATCCCCTGCTTTGGTTGTATAGTGTTAATATGTGACATGCATATATACGGTACTGTTGTACTGAGATCTGTCCGTATCAGTAGATGTTAATGTTTGCTGCAGAACATCTATTTAGGGTCCAACATTAACCCTCCAGTTGAAAGCTGAGGCCCCGCTGATAAGACTGTTGGAGGGAAACCAAATCAAAACTGATTTTTACGGTTCCACTGGACATGTGACACGACCCGCCATATCGGCTGCTTCTGCCGCCCCCGTCCCACTACTCTAAAACCTTTCCACCCCATGAATTATGAATTATGGGCTCGTGCAATATTATACCGTGTTAGTTTTGATAACAATGAATATGAATTCAAGATCCTTTTAAAAAATGCATGAGGGGAAAGCGGTGCCACCGAGAGGTCGAGGATGGATGTTGGCATCAAACACTGTACAATATTTATTGTTGTTGCAGACGATTCCTTAAGCAGTCACCCGTGTTCTCCAAGCATTCTGCAAGCATTTTACTGACGAGTGTTACTCAGTTGAACCGATTTTTGAATTTATTAGTGACAAAGCTTCATTTTTTTTGTGTTTCTTGATGTTCATCAACATTCAAAGTATTGTAGATATCTTTGTTTCTCAGCTGTTCAGGTTTTTTTTTTTTTAATGATTTATCAGAAAAAAAATGGATGTTTTTATGATTTCTTACTATACTGACTGTTGACCTGATAGAAGTTTGAGTGGATTTGAAGCTTTTCTTTTTTATTTCCAGTGTTTCTAAGAGGATTCCTTTGTTTGGCCTTAGTATCTTAAAATGAATAAATAAAGACTTAAACTAACGAACGTTTTTAATTGACTCTAAATGGCTTGAATAGATGGTGTGTGTGTGTGCGTGTGTGTGCGTGCATCTATCACTAAGTTGGATATTTATATTATATCATCTTGCTGAATTAATTGGAGCTGTTTTCCATTTAAAAAGGTGGAGGATCAAAAGACGGAAAGCATTGAGGGTCGTGTCGCCTGTTTAGCATTTAAACACCCCCGGGGGCCTAATCTCTCTTTATACCACTATACAATCTTCCAAAGGTATCTTCACCCGAGGAGGGCCCGTCCCCTCCCTCATTACAGCCTGTGAAGGTCACACTGAAGAGGTGAAACCCTCCTGTAGGGGTTTGAACCACACGCTCGTAAGAGAAACCATTCATACTGTGAAGGTGAAATGACGGAGGAACCTCATGTTTGTGCAGCACAGCAGTCGTATTTGAGGGGAAAAGGTCTTTGTACCACCAGATTAGATCAGTTTTTGTGCTCAACTAGTAAATGCCAGCTAATTATAATGTCAGACAACTGTTGTCTGACGTGATGATCTCATCTAGTTACCAGCTCTCTTCAACAGACCAGCTGTTTCTCCCTCATGGACTTGCTGGTGTTTAAAGTGTTGAGGACCTAATGACGGCTTTGTCCCCTTTATTTGATAAAACTCCAAATCTCCATCTTGTCTTCCCACTATTGTCCTTTCCTCTGCTCAGCTTGAGGAAGGAGATTCTTCCGGTTTTGTTTCTTTATACTGCTCTAATGTATAATCACCAATATGGCGCTATTGCTTTTATACATTCTGGATGCTTCGTGTGTGTGTGTGTGTGTGTGTGTGTGTGTGTGTGTGTAGCCACATTTTGTAATCACAATCGGGTAGAAAAACACACTTTACTAAAATGAGAACTTGAGCTTTTATTCTTGACCATGGAAATAGCAGCTTGAGCAAAATAATAAAAATAAATCACTATAAGATGGTTGATATGTAAAGAGAAGGAAATGATACGAAAGAAGCTGCCAGTAATGTACACATTTTCTTAATAGCACTCAGTTTATACTTGCACTTATAAAGTATCACCAGTAATGTCTTTATTACCCATGCGCCCCTCAATCAGGCCATTACTAGGGTCATAAACACTAAATGAACATATTTTCAATGTAAATTGCATAATATCACCCAGAGTTTTCTTGGGGGAAATATGAGGAATTTAATTCGACTGACTGCACCTCCACCAGCTCTCTCTGCTTGGTTTCCTGGTACGACAGCTGGCAGGGGACGGACCGAGGCGTCGGGCCAACGGAGGCAGGAAACTGGAGGCGCTGCAGCGGGTTTGAACAGGAAGGATCCACTCCTGGAAAACAACTGCTATTTTAGATCAGGTATGTACAACATCTCAAGGGACGCCATCTAAAAGAGGGGAAATCCTATGTTATTTCTGCTCAAATAAATGCTCTGAACTGTTGATTTGACAGGTGAAGAATGGCTTCTATCATAACTACACCCCTTATTTTGACATTTTGTATGTTTGGTTGGTGCTAAACGTACATCAGCGAGTAACAAAAAGGTTGGAAACTGTAGTGTTTATTTGTTATTATGGCTCATTTTTACTTTCTATCTTTTAATCAAGCTGGAAAGTGTCACTCTGAGCCCTGCAGTTCACTCTCCTGTTGGTCTGTTTTCCTTTAAGCCTTTGTCTCTAATCTTTTTCAGTCACACTAAATCCGCATACACTCTCTCCCACACACACACACACACACACACACACACACACACACACCCCTTCTGTGACTAACCCTCCTATGAGGAGTCTCTGCTAATGACAGCGTATGACAGCGTGTGACTTCACACACTGACACGGTCACCTGCTCGACTCTTCAGTCAAAGCACACAAACATAAACACACACGATCATCTCTTCGTCTTTCATGTGGTCTCTCTGGGCTCCGGGTCCAAGCTCCGCAGGCCTCTCTGGACCTGAATGTTGCTGCTTTGCAGAAATTACACCCCTTCCAAATGCCTCAGTGCCCCAGAGGTTCAGAGGGGCTGCTGGTATTTGAGGCCCCGGGCCAAAACCTTTCATCATGGGGCTTTGGGAAGAGCTCTGGTCTGGTCTCTTCAAACACACTGGGAGATAATGGCTTAGAGACACACACAGGGAGGGGAAACGTCTGTCACGCTGGCTGAGAGCGGGGGCTGCAGTCCTTAACAGACACAGACCAGAGGAGGCTTCAGGGTTTTATGATGTTTCATTTTATTTGGGGATAAAATAAAGCAACTTGTCTGCTTCACTTAAATCCACAACTCAAGATTTATTTGCCTGCATGCAGGGGCGGAGCCAGACGTTGTAAACATACAGGGCTCAGCCCAAACCTGGGGGCAGGGCCACCCTCCCCCGCAGAGATGCTTTTCCATTTATAGCAGCTATATGCACTATTTTTCAAGCCATTTTGTTAGATTGCCTAAAAATCTGTACTTAAACTGGTAAAATCATGATAGTTGCCAAGAACATTTGTTGAGGATGACTAATTTTCATTACTGCCAACTAAAAAGAGGCAAACATAGTCTACTGTTACTGCTATTAAGTGACATAACATGGTAGGAATTTGGCATGAACAGCATTACAAATCTTGAAACCTGTTTTTGTTCTAATATGGTGGAGTAGAGTTCACAGAATGTTTCGCTGACAAATCTGCTACTTTTAAATCCGTGTCATAATAATCTGGGCTGCTCTAATTGTAAATCAGAGATCATCAAAGATGGCAACTAAATGTGGTCTTCAATACTCTGAATTGAACACTAGGCTAACAGACAAACAATTACTCAATTATATTGTGTTTATTTAGGTAATAGAATAGTAGTATTGGTAGTGGTAGTAGCATAGAACAATCCTGCATGATAATGTTATTTTAAAAACCTAAAAGATTTAGGGAAATCTTTTGAAAAGTGAGAGAGTATAATCTCTCACAAACGTATGTCTCAGGATCACTAGAGTCACAAGGATTCATCCTCTCTGCACCATGAAGGGTTTTACCAAATTCCATGTCCTCCTTGACATTCCATATTGAAATATTTCAGTGTGGACCAAAGTGGTGGACTGACCAACCAACATTGGCGTGCCTGGAGAGAGGTTAGCATTGTGCCAAATAAGGAAATCCCAAACGAGGAAACAATTGTAGATATTTTCTTTCGAAGCACATATTTCAGAAGACAGAGCAAGGAAGTGGTGAGAGAAGGAGTTAGCGTGAGGGCTTCTTTGAAACAAAGCTGTAATTTGGAGAATTTTGTGGCAATGAACATGAGTAAAGATGCAAATATTCAAAACTTTTACCCGAACCTTAACCAGAGACGGTTTCATTCAGTAAATGTGACCTCTGTGTGTGAGAAATGTGAAAATATTGTTCACACTTTATGACTGTGTCCGGTGATGTGGCACCAATCATCACATTATCGTGTTTGTTGGGAAGAAGACAATAAAATAGTTGTTTGTAGGAGGAGGAGGAGGAGTTGCAGACGGACAGTAGTTGTGCGTTTGTGGATGGGAAAAGAAGTAAGAATGAAGTTAGGAGGAGGAGGAGTACAACAGAATGGGGTTAGTTCAGGAGTTCAGTTGAGGGCAAACCACAACTGATGAGGTTTGCTCTAAGCTGAATTTAGGGCGGCTTGATTGTCAAAAATCATAATCACCATTGTTTTGGTCAATATATCAATATTGACATAACGATCATTTAACACAATTACCAACTGGAAACTTCATGTGTTTATTGAACTTCAAGTCTGTGTTTCAAGACAGGCCGGCTGGGTTTCCAAAATCACCGCAGACCTCTGATGCACATGAAGTCCGCCCTGGTTGACAGTCGAGCCGGGGGGTGGCAGGGGGCCCCGTCCTCCCTGCAGGGACAGAGGGCGGGGCCGTGAGATACTTCACCAAGGGCGCAGCGCACCCAGGTGTTACACTCAATGTATGCACCGAGGGACCCGGGGGTCTTAGTGGGCACCTCACACTTTAAGCACCGAGGAGCCTCACATTGCAAGCGCTGCGGGGACCGGGGGGGCCCTAGTGGTCAGCTTGCACTGTGCGAACTGAAGGCCCTGGCATTCAACTTCCTGCAGAAGATTTAGGCCATGTACTGTGTCTAAGGCCATGGGTTGGGTGGGTTGCTGGGGCCAGTGGGGCCCCCAGAGCCCTGACCCCTGTCCCCACTGACAAGGTCCATAATCCAGCCCTGCTAGATGGTTTGCACATGAACTCAAACTGAACTTCAAGTGCCTTTTTAAGTGAAACAGAATGCCAGAGAATTGTGTACGTTTGGGTTTTAAAGCAAAGCCATGTTTCAAAATGGAAATGTATAATGGCAGAAATGTGGTAAATAAACAAATTGTTTCCTTGATTAGCGACCACAACAGTGATCTGCTGGAGCAGTGGTAACCCTGGGTCTCTATTATGTCAGTCCAGTCACGAGAAAAACAGGAGCGGCTGCAGAGGGCTGACCACAGAGGAAAGCATCGCGTGCAGGACTCAGAGAGGCCCGAGACTTTCAGTTTGGGGGACTTTGAGTGTTGTGCCAAACAATTGTGTCTGGTGCAGCTTCGGGATTCACTATGTGCTCGTGTCAGGAGGGCAGCCTCCATCTGCACCCTGATAACCAGCCTTCACTCAGATATTCAGGCGGCGGCGCAGCAGCAACACATTCTCTCAGGACCGGGAGGAATCTCTCTTGTTTTCCACCACGGCGGCTATTCTTTCAACTGATGACTGAAATATGAGTTCATGTGGAAATATTTGCTTTGTTACTTGAGGCCATGCCAAGACGGGGGGGGCACGGAATATACTGTGTCAGCCTCAACATACCAGGAATACAGAAGCTGGCAGCCTCTGACAATGTTGCTATCTAAAAAGACAACACACTGTTTTACAAATAAGATGCTATAAATCTTGGATATTTATTTATAATTAATACGTGTGCAGTTTAAAATTTTAAGGATTGAGTTTAAGTTTCTATCCAAGGGGAAAACACTTGATATCCCTCATTTATATTTCAAAACTCCAGAGTCAGAGTCGAGTCATCCAGGGTTGCATCATCCACAGAAAAGGTGGTAAAATACAGCTGCATTGTTAACAGTTAATGAGGATTTTCCTCTGCTGCTATGAACTTAAACCTAATAAAAAGTACCAGTGAGTTATTGTGTGCTGACATGAAGCTACAGCATGTTTGAGCTTTATATTTGCACTTTGGATAAACAAGATGTAGCTGTTTCTGTCTCATTATTGCACACCTACATTGGGTGAAAATAAGGTTGAATATCAGTTGGGTTTGACCACATTTTTCAGTGGGATTAGACGAGGTCAAGAAAGGGGTCAACTGGTTTGACCTGACCCCCATTTATTTTAAACGATGACGCTAATAGAATCCAACTTGCATCTGTGTGCAAGATGTGGTGATGTGGTATTCTTTTTGAAAGCAAGTAAGTAAAAGTACAGAAGTGCAGAAAATGTCCTCTGTGACTGTTATAATAACATACAGTATATCATTAGTTTATTAGATTTAAGGTGGAGCTAACTTGAACTATTTTGTGTCGGACTTCAACTAATTCTTCTTCTTCTATATGGATTAATCTGCTGATTATTTTCCCATTAATTGATTGATTGTTTGGTTTGTGAAAAATTCTGAAAATAGTGATAAATGCCGTCACAGTTACCTCAGAGGCCAAAGTGACACCTTCACAATGTTTGATTTCTTCAACCAACAGCCCCAAATAATCACAATCAAGAGGAAAACATGTCATGTAACCATGACATGTTTTTGCATTTTTGCATAAAAAATAACTTAAATTATCGAAAAAGTTGTCTGCCAATTAATTACTCGATTAATCAACTAATCGTTTCAGCTGCACTTGTAAATGTTGAATTGTTCAATTAACAACAAAGCATCAGAAAAGACTCGAGCACGCTGCTGCTGTTGTATCTAGTACTAATATATCTGCTGTATGCGGGCTCGTGGATGATGAGGTCACTGTTCACCTCAAAGGGGATGCCTCGTCCCGTGACGTCACGCGCGCGCTCCCCCCTCGAGCGTCGGCGCGGCGAGCAGAGAGGCAGCAGAGGATGAGGAGATGAGCTGAAGACACGCTGGGCGGACAACTGCTTATCTGTGAGTGACTTTTTACGACTTCAGACTTTTTGTTTTACCTAAAAAAAAAAGAACCGTTTAATGCGATGGTATAATTCAGTTATAGTGGTCACTCTTTACTTGAAATGTAGCTCCGGGCTTCTTCATAAAGCAGAACGGAAGAAAAACATTTAATACACACGATAGTCATTGTAATCTTAGCAGTATTGGAACTTGAAGCCTAGACGTTGGATACAAGAGGAAGAAAAGGAAGATATAAATGTACATCAGGCTGCTGTTTGTCTCATGACTGAGATGTGAGAAAAGTTTATATTTCTCTAATCAATTATAATGTGGGCTGTCATATAGTCATCAAGGTTTTCATACATTTTGGTTGATTATTTTTTATTTAACATAAAGGAATGTGTGGAACAACAACTGCAATAGGCAGCTCAAAAACAACACAATAAGTTTTTCACATTTGAAGCAAAACAATAATTAAAAAAACATTGGAAATCGGATAATCATCACTTTGTCTTGTCTCCCTCAAGCCACATCAGAGTTACAGTAGTTATTTTGGGACGTTGCTAATTTATTATTAATTCATAAATATATCATTATTATTATTTTTACTATTTCTAATCGCTGTGACAAGTAATTGTGAGCTTTAATTTAATAGTTTCATCCAAACAGTCGCCATTCTCTGATTTCACGGCCTATATGACAGCTGAATAAGAAGAAGAAAGAGTTGAGTGTTTATTCTCATCGTTGTCTTGGCTCTGCAGAGGACAGCATCATGCTCGGTCTACTGCGCCCCCTACTGGCCGCCTGCTTGTACCTGCTGCTGCCCGGCGGACAGGGCTGGAGCCCCGGGTACAGCAACGGCTTTCACTACCAGGACATCAGCAACGGGAACGGAAAAGGAGAGAGTAGGTCCTCTGTTTGTCTGTGTGCGACTGAAATGGAGGGCAATGGAAGTTTGTCTCTGTTCGCTGTTTGTGGAATGTAACCAAGTGCATTTACTCAATTTCTCGTAATGTAGTCTGGTCATTTTGCACCTTTTACTCCATTACATTTATTTGATACCTTTAGTTACTTGTTCCTTTGCAGATTCAAATTGATAGCAGGGCTACAAAAGATAATCAACAAATAAATTATAGATTAAGCTACAAACAGTAGAATAAATAGTGTTAGAATAAAGTTGAAATGAGTTCCTTTACCAGCTGCAGCTTTACTGATGCTTACACTAATTGCATGCATCACTAATTATAATCCAGTTATATAATATGTTATATATAATAATATGCTAATATTTCTGTAGTTTTGATTAATTAAGATTCTGAATGAAGTACTTTTATGTGTAACAGACTATTTTCAGAATCAGAAATGATTTACTGCCAAGTATGTTTGCACATTCAAGAAAGTTTACCTGATGATTGGAGCATGATAATAAACACGATATAAATACATAATTCTTAAAAAGATATGAAAATGTACAATATAATATGATAAACAAACAAACAAAACATGTAAGAATACATGTATACTGTAGTTTTACTACTTTTACTGAAGTGAAAGAGCTGAATACTTCTTCCACCCCTGCGTGTGAGACACAGATGTTTCTTCATGTTTCATTTGTGTACATCACAACACCTGGACGTGTTGGCAGCAGACAGCTATAATTAATAGAGCCCAAACAGTCAACTGGTTCACGAAAACAAAGTCTGGTAGTCGTTGATGTGGTTTGTGTTGCAGTGAACCTGCAGTGAACCTGTGTGAGTAGGATGTCGAACAGTACTCTACGTCTACTTACCTCAGCTTAAATGAAGTGAACGCATGTGTATGTTGCTTGTTTTTTCGGTCAACGGCTTCGTTACAGTCCGTGTCACAGTTGTAAACGTAAACATTCCATTACGGTTTATTTCCTGTTGCAGTGTATGTGAATGACATAAACTGACAGGAAGTAAACATGAATTCAGGCTGTTAATGCATGCTATGTTTGGTGGTCGTTGTGGTGGAAAAAAATCTTTTTAACCTCTCTGTGAGAAATAATCACGAGGGAACTTCTTAAAGTATTAAAATCAAATTTAATGAACAGACACTTCAATCAAAATTCAGCTGAATGGATAGAGCTCTGTCCCCACGGATGGTTCGGAGGTCTAACCCAGATAAACAAAAAAAACAGTATATATGCACGTTATCTCGTCTCCTCTCCCTTCAACCCCCCCCCTGCAACCCTCGCAGATGTTGTCCGAAGAAGAACAACAAGGCCAGGTTCCCAGCCTTTTCGTCGGAAGAGGGTTAGGGTGGTATATGCAGGTTTAAGCGATACAAGTTATAACTAAAAGAAACATATGATAAATTTCCACCACAGTCGTACCAGTTTAGGTTCATGAAATATGGGTGAGTAGTATATGACTGAATACATCTAGTTTTAAGGATAAGTACAGGTGTAAATAATAATAATATTCACAACGGCTCTGTTCCATTTAGATTGGCCAGTGAGACTGTATTAATGTCGCTAGTTCCATGTAAGTGTGACAAGTTCAAATGTGCACGGTGAGGTCCGGGCAGCTGTGTAACGAGGCTGATTTTAACTGGGTTTTGATGCGAGTTCAAAATAACAACAACACTGTTTGCTAGAAATAGCGTTAACGAACAGTATTGTCCCACAATTCAGTGCAAAGCTGGATATTTTATACACATGCAATGGTACAGACAGCTCCAGAGATAAAAACAACAACAAACAAACAACAGAATTGGATTGTTTTGTGCACAGCAGCATGAGAGGACCTTCCCATGTTCTGAAGACAGACAACGTCTTTGCACACTGAGAGAGGCTCATTTATTGAATTGCAAGATGCAGATGTGTGTCATCACAGGCTTCAACATGGCTGCTTTGATTACAACATGAAATATTTTGAAAGGCGCTTTGCTTTCACTTAAAGAAGTGTAACCGGCAGTAGAATTCAAAAGCAGCTGACGTCCATTTGTGGTCGGTTTATTGTTGCTACAAAACTGTTAATTGTTTGTAAACAGAAAAACCAATGTGTTGTTTATGGTGTAGAATTGGTGTGCAATGAAAGTGGAAGACAGTTAAGACTTTTTTTTCACAGCAGACATTTTGACACACCATAGCAGGAAGAGCACAAGTGTTACTCATAACATTTTAAATATACATCCATATAGGATGTATTAGAATCCATCCGTGTATGTATTAGGTTCAGGGCCCTGCATCCTGTCTCACTGACATGGTTTACGGGGACCCCTAAAAGGATCAGAGCCATCATAAATGTTGTTTACAGCTATGCTTTAATTGCTGCTACTAGAATTTATAATGGCTGCTGTTAAAAAGCTTCATGATGGGATGGGTTAAACCATAAAATACGATTTATTTGCCAACCACATCCGATGCAGGTGCTCCATTACCCGACTATTTCAGTACTGCCTTTTCACAGAGAACAGATTAAAGGCACAGTTTAGAGAAATCTAGTTTAATTAATCCCATCAACACAAAACACAGAGAACAAATTCAGAATTAAACTGCTTAACTCATGTTGTATTTCTGGTGTTCGTGTCCTTGTCCAGTCTATTTCAACGGGGTTCGTCTCCACGTGGAATCCCCGCAGCTTTCGGTATCGGCCACCAGGGGGAGCAGTGTCACCCTCCCCTGCCACTTCCACTACGAGCCCGAGCTGAGCGCACCGCGCAGGACCAGGGTCAAGTGGTCCTGGTTGCCCGCCAACACCATCGGTGCCCCTGTTCCCCCCGAAGCCTTCACCAGGGAAACCGAGGTTATGGTCGCGATGGGCAACCGCCACCGCAGCTACGGCGGCTTCCGGGGCCGCGTGCGCTTGCGACGCTCGGCGCCGGGCGACATGTCGCTCGTGATCAATGAGCTGCAACTCAACGACACGGGGAGATACCGATGTGAGGTCATCGATGGCCTGGAGGACGAGAGTGTGACGGTGGAGCTGGAGCTGCGGGGTGAGCAATGTGTGTGTGTGTGTGTGTGTGTTGATGAGGGTGAAATGTTATGTGAGGACACTCAACTCATGGGTCAGTTTCTGTGCAGTGAAATTTAAAATGACTGAGGATGAGAGAGAGATTTACTGAAAAGTCTTGTGATGGTTCTGCTAAATAATTTTTTTGACTTGCATCTTGTACTTTCATGTTTACATACGATGTGGTAGCTGTTATGTGACCCGATAAAACAGCTTCGTCCTGGAGTTTATACAGTATAAAGTACTTGAAGCAGATTAGCACATAGCTGGATTAAGTCACTAGGAGGCCCAGGAGTAAAAATAATCTGTGGGCCCCCCATGGATGTATAATAAAAGCCTGATACAGCGCCGATTTCTTCCAGTGGCCAGTCGCAGTACTGCAGCTAGAACGTCCCCCTTGGCTCGTAAAGCATTTTCTGTCTGTAAAACCATCGAGATGAGACAATTTTTAAACCATGGAGGTTTCATGTTTGCAAAACAGAAAAGCTTTTTCTATACGTGCATCGTAAAGTCTTTATGTGTGAGAGAGAAACACTAATGCTCATGTGCAGTTGTGCTGCAAAGCAAACCAGAAAGCTTCACAACTTTTTAGACTTATTCACAGGGAATTTTCATTCAGATGTATGGGGGATATTTCCATGGTGGGCACCCTATTGACCACTTCTGTGTTGTAATTTGGTTAAACACAAATTTATTTTGGAATATGCACCATGTCAATTTTGACACAGGACCCCTCTACAAGTTGACAATGCAGGGCCCACCTCAACATTTCAGTTCTGCTAATGCTTATCACAGATGCATTCAGACACAACATCAACTGCATCTCTTAAATGCATCTCTCTAACCATCAGGTCGCCTGCCTGCATACTGCTCTGTATGACAGTAAAAATCAAACCATAATGCACTTCTCCTCCCTATATGTAGGCACGGTGTTCCCCTACTATTCTCAGAAAGGACGCTACCATTTTAACTTCTTTGGGGCCCAACAAGTGTGCCAGGACCAGGAGGCCACTCTGGCTACATTCGAGCAGCTCTTCTCAGCGTGGGAGGACGGTTTGGACTGGTGCAACGCTGGCTGGTTGGCCGACGGCACGGTGCAGTATCCAATCACAGCCCCGCGTGACGGCTGCGGCGGCATGGACTTAGCTCCCGGTTTGCGCAGCTACGGACAACGGCATCGCCTCCTCTACCGCTATGATGCTTTCTGCTTCTCCGCCTCTGTCAAGGGTCAGTATAAGTGTGTGTGTGTGTGTGTGTGTGTGTGTGTGTGTGTGATGAAGAATAAATATATCCTCACTTATGACTCTCTCCTTCGTTAGGGACTGTGTACTTCTTAAAGCACCCGATCAAGCTCAACTTCACAGAAGCGGTCCAGGCTTGTGCCAGTGATGGAAGTCAAATTGCCAAAGTGGGCCAGATGTACGCCGCCTGGAGGCTGATGGGATTGGATCGGTGTGACGCCGGATGGTTGTCCGATGGGAGTGTCCGTTATCCCATCACAAAGGCCCGGGCTAACTGCGGCCCACCAGAACCAGGGGTGCGTAGTTTTGGGTTCCCCCCTCTGTACCGGAAATTTGGCGTCTACTGTTATCGGTAGACGCTTCGGCTCAACACAAGACACAAACACACCGTTCGAAACAGCGCACCGGTTCAAAGCTCTGCTTGAGAGGTTAGCATTAGCTTGTAGCCTGAGAGCAAATGAGCAGTTAGCCAGTTTGTTCATTTGGGAGCTATTATGATATTTTGAGGCCATTTGGGTCAATCGCATTCCACCTCCGTAAGACTGTAACTAATCAGCAGCCTATTGAACTTAACTTCCAGTCAACAACTAAGTGCACCCATCATGTGATGCCACTTGTATTCAAACAAAATGACTATACTTTATGGCCAGAAGTATGTGGGCACGCGGACATTTCACCCGCGTCTCATTCCAAAACCATTAATGTGCTGCTACAACAGCCTCCACACAGGCTTGCTGCAAGATTTAGGAACCAGTCCGCAGGAATTTGCCCTCATTCAGTCACAGCAGCATGAGATGATGCAGCGATGAGGCCTGGTTTACTCTCGGCTTTGCAGTTCAACCTGAAGGTGTTGAGGTCAGGGCTCTCTGTGGGCCTGTCAAGTTCCTCCACACCAAACTGTGAATTTGTACACGGGGTTGTTGTCATGTTGAAATAGTAAAGGAAAACTGTTGGAAGCACGTCATTGTCTGGAATACGTACGTACCTTAATTGGACCACATTAATATTGCATAGACAGCGGTGTCCACATATTATTGGCCATATAGTGTTTAATGTCTCAACCACAACAGCATCCTGCAGGAAAAGAGAACATCTTTCCATAGTTTGTGTGTAGATTCAGTTATTTTTCCTGCACATTTTCCTCACAGATCAAATCAAGCTAATTGTGCTTTAAATAATTTTGCAGCTGTTTTTAAATTGTTTTTATTCACACATGATTAATGATTAATGATTAATTTCTCTTTAAGAAAAATCTCACTATTCAAATGAAACCACTGTTCTCCAACCATACCTCAGTCCCTCATCTACCATGTATTTATTCAGCAATTACTTTGTCTGTTTTGTTTTGCCTTGCTAAGGGGCACTTTGATGGTTGAGGAAGTGGAGAGTGTTTCTCATTATGTTCCTGTCAGATCTTTCCAACTGGTCCACGATTGTCCTCTCACTAACTGTATGTAACTGTTTCTGTCTTTCTAACACTGTGAAATATACTGGAGTCTTTGCTTGTCTCCTTAAATGTCTGTGTATCCCGTGTTATAAAGTATAATGCATCTCTTTTTCATTTTTCTGGGTGACTAAGAGTAGTGCTCTGCGATGAAAGCAGAAGTAATGAGTGAGTATCTGTATTGTTGTAATATTTAAACTACCTTGTTTACATCCATTGTGGAAGGAGAAAAACTGTTTCATTCTGACATGTATCTGCTTTTTTGTGTTTTTTTTTCATTACATATGTCTACGCATTTATACTATTTTCTACAAATTAATAAAAACATTACTGTAACAAAGTTTTCATGTGAGACACATTTGTTGAAATCAGGTGATTTAGGAAAACTAAAATTTAAACTTCAAAGATGCCCCTTGAATCGCTGGATTCATAGCTACGACACACTCCGATGTTTTCGGTGGTTTTCATACACCTCCTCTGGTTGGTGTTGCTTTCAAGGTGCGATACAGTTTCACTTTCAGTCCAAACAGGAATGCCAGGGTAGAGAGGTGAGATGGGTTACTGACCCACACAAAACAGCCACTGTATGTAAACAGCGTCGCTCTGTCTGCCTGCGCGATGCACTTTTAGATGAGTGGGGTCAAACACGTTGCTACACCCTCCTGCATCCGGGTGTGAACAGAAGTCCTAGTGATTATATGGCCGGCAGGTCCTATTTACACCTGCTGGTCAAACATCAGTGGACCCACACACATAAACACACACAGGGATTACACGCCCAAACACAAACACACACACGGATTAATGTACACACCGCATAGATGCATTCATATACTTATATACATACAGGGCTACACACACACCCAGAGCAGCTCTGTTTGCGGTGACTGAAGTGATGAAGGTAGAGGCTGTAGGCGCAGATAAAGGCACTATTTACTGTGTGTTTTTTCACGGTTGGGTTCCACAGGAAGGTAAAAACAAACTAAATGCCGGGTTTGTTCCCCTGGCACGGAGAGTTCACCTTAAATTCAACAGCTCCAGGGAAAAGATGATGTTTCCAGAAAATCTCAGTGCGTGATTTCCACGAGTTAGATCGTACAGTTCCTTAATATGAAATTGCAATGATTCCTGGGTAAAGAAGTGACAGTTTTGCACACTAGGACACTCATTCCACAGAGACGGATGATTCCAAGTTTTATTTGGTACAGCACACTGTATGTTCACATGAGCATTCAGGGTCTGAACAAAGTCACAACAGGCGTTTCTGTGTGCAACGTTAAACATATTTTGGTTTATTTGTCAAGAGATGATTCGGTTTATTGAAGAATCAAAACACTGATACACAGCCTCACTGATTTGCCTCAACTGTCCGCCACATAATCTCTCAAATGTTGGCCTCCTGTTGAAATTTGAGCTTACGCTCTAATGTGATAGTAAAATAATTCCAGCACACACCAGGAGCATCCAAGTCGAATTTGTTGATATCTGTTGTGTGTACAAAATGTGCAAACTTTGAACAAGCTAGGTGTTTCACTTTGTGGCGCTCACTCATCCACTTTCATATTCTGTAGCGTGTTCTCTGAATTGTGTGTGCGTGTCCATGATAGTACCAGTTTGACTGTGTGTGTGTGTGTGGTAACTCTTTTAGTGTTTATGAGTTGTTCTGTGAGAAATCAGATACGGACTAAAGTACTGTATCTGCTCTCAGAGTTGAAAAGCAAATCTTGACCTTTTTAAAAGGTCATGGTCAACATTTCGTATCCGCCACCTCCACCTTCTCTATCGTCTTTCTCGTCATGTTTATAATAATTTCTACTGCTCTCACAGCTTCTATTCCCTAAAATTGTATAATTTCTCAAGTTTTAAGAAGTACATTTCTGTTGATAAAACCCTATTGCATGAAACACACACCAGAAACCTCCACAAAGTTGTTTGAGGCTCAAAATCACATAAGTAACTCATAACTGTAACCTACCATTGAATTAAACCAACAAATCAACAGGGTGGATGATGAATTAATCAAACAAACAATTAAATTGTCCGTCTCTGCGTTGGTTATTGACAGATCCTGCTGTTCAGAGAATTGTAGAGAGAATATTTACAGTGAGAAACTTCATTCATTTAGCAAACACTGAATCTCATAAAAGCATGATTCTTGCTGACAGACACCGTTGATTGCTCTTGAGAAGTCACAAACCCTAACCTGCAAAACTGGGTGTGGCAGAAAAGCCAGCAACTTCAGCATCAAACTGTAGATCTGACTTGTTTCTCAGTACGGGTTGATTGGCATGTGCCAGCTACAGATGAGGATTGTTTCTTTTTTCATGTTTACGGTGCACTGGATTCAAATGATTAGCACAGAAGTGACTGAAGACTCCCAAAAGTGCATGAGTGCTGATTATTTCAATCCAGGTCTGTTGCACTGACTTTAATCACATCTTGAACTTGGATTTCTATATTCATCATCGATTGGAACAGCACAATCATTTCAGTATTTCTGATACTGCCGCGGTGTTGCTGCACAGTGGCTCTCAAGCTTGAGGTTGTGACAAGATTATTTGGGGTCTTGAAATATGGCGATACATTTCACCAATGTATCGGCAGGTTTTTCCCCCTTACAAAACCTGACTTCATTCTCCGTATTGTAGGTTAAGAGGTGCTCATTGCTGTATTTTAAGGGGTCACAACCAAAACGGTTTGAGAATCACTGTCTCCGCCTTCACCGTAAGAAACAGTTTTGTCTCGCCAGGCTGAAGCACACAAATAAAGTCCTTAGAGACCGAATAAAAGTAATAAAAACTACTGAGAAACACCCTACACCCTACAAATATAGCAAAAGTTTGCGTGACAATGTGTTTGACTTCAGAGAATCCAGCTGCAATCGAAAACACTTTTATTTTATTGGGCTGATTTGGACTGTGTGTGTGTCACTCTAAAGCCTCTTACTATTTCATCTACCTTACTTTGTGTGCAGTGCTGGCAACCGATTGCAGAAAAATGTGCAATGAGATAATGCTCCCCAATACTAGATCACGGCTATAAATTAGACAGTATAAATACATAGAAAAAACTGCCTTCAGAAGGTGCAGGGTGACACTCAAAGATCCAAATCATCAGTCAATTACACTATCACTGTCTAAATGTGCTTTAGTGTGTGTGTGTGTGTGTGTGTGTGTGTGTAAATACATGGTGGGGAATATTATCTTTTTGGTCCGTCATTTGCATTGGTGTCCATGCTTCGTTACAAGAGGGGGTCCTTTGTGGCTCTCTGTTCTATGTCCTTTTCATTCCTGCTCAGTGCAGCTTCCTCTGTTCCTGTTGGCTGCTGACTCCTTTACTTCTTCTCCTGAGGGATCTTTTGTGTAGCCGGTTACTGTTGGCGCCAGCTGGGAGGGGGGAGAAAAAGGTACGCATACTGATGACATCATGTCAACATGAGTTGCCATTAGACGTATAAATCACCCTGAATTTGTAATTGCAAATTTATGTTTGTTTGCAAGGTTTAAATCTCTTTCATGAATGAAGTGGATTAAAAACAAGCACTTGGATGCCCAGGTAACCTAGGGGTTTAAGGCATCAACAATGTGCAACGTCCTCCGTTTGAGTTCAACCAGGGACCTTTGTTGCAGCCCAACCTCATGCTGCTGTGGCCAATCAGTTTACTGGTCAATCAGATCGGAAGATGCCCACGTGAGGAAACATGAATGACCAAAACACATTGGACTGTAACTTTGGTCACTCACTCGCTTTGATAGGCCTCGCATCCTGATCTGTTATTTAAAGTGAATATATTTTGATCTGTTGATACGGACAGACGTTAAATTCAGCTCATGGAAACACGCATTTATCTTGTATTTAATATGTGAAAAAAGTGACTTTTGAACTCTGTTGACCACATTTTTGCTATATCAAGCGGCATTTGTGCCAAAAATAGACCTCACTTTTTTTTGCTTCTGGTCCAACTTTGTTTTGGTTGTCTTTTGCTGAAGCTGCCAACGCGGCTGTTAACTGAGCTACACTTTCATGTTGTTGTTTTAACACAAACATTTTTTAATTATTGATGGTAAATCCATATGTCAGCATTTCCCTGCAAGCCTACCTTCTGTACATTCCACTTGTGGCTCCTCCCACTGTCCGTCTGGCATGCAGCGTATGACGGGCAGGTGGCGCTGCGTGTAGCCTGCGTCACACTGGTAGCGGACTATAGAGTTGGCGGGGTAGCGCTCTCTGCCGCTGCCCATCGGCCGCCCGTGCTGCACCTCAGGAGGAGCTCCGCACATGGCTGAAAAAAGAAAACCGACAAACATATAGTGACAGTTGCAGCTTGTCAAGGTTGCTGGTTGTTTTTTAGTTATCCAACTGTTTCACATCCCAAACTAATTTTCCTTCTAGAAAGAATTCCCAGAATCACTTCTTGGCCAGACACATATTACCACCCAGTAAGCTTACCAGGTCCGGTCTTGCAGGTGAAGGGAAGGTGGTAGTTGCAGGGCACGTCATTCCACTGTCCGCCCTCGTGCCAGATCATCACCACACAATCCTCCTCAGAGTTGAAGTAGTTATCTGGCTGGTTGGGCCTCCAGTTCTCGAATGTCTAAGGAAGGTAAAAAGACAAATCAATGAATCCATAAACATGATAAAATGATGTAGATAGTTGTTAAGCAATCAAACTTACTAGAGGACTGCTGTCTGTCCAGCGGAACTCATTTTGCACATCTTTGTCATTGAGTCCAATCCACTGGTAGTCCTGGCCATTGGCTGCATCGCAAAGAAAAATAGATTTTAGCTTTCAAACCAGTTATACAGCACACGTCTTCTGTTATAGTATGCTTGCATCCAATGCAATGTCAATGTTCAAATGTCCGAAGTAGTAACAAGATGTTTTATCCCCCCGAGGAACAGGGGCTCAGAATCAAAAAGGTCCTGGATCGGCTGTCTATGGCGCATTCGTCATCATCACACCAATACTCGACCTTTTCAATTTTCTTTTTATCTCTTTCTCCCCAAATTTGAAAGATCAATAACCCTTTCTCCGTTTACTTATATTACACAGCTACTCACAGTTGACAAACTGCTGCTCCTCCTGGGAGCCAATGCTAACCAGGTGGGCGTTGACCTCCTGACAGCGTTGCTCAGCCTCAGACCAGGTATCTCTCTCAGCAAAGTGGAGGTAACAGCTGCCCATGAACTCCAACCAGCCCTCAGCACAGCCCTGCACAGCTACACATCAAGACACATTTTGACAAAAGCATGAAAAATGATGAAAGATATTTATATATTAGTATCCAACACAAGCTAAATGGCATTAAAACAAAATAATGTGATGTCTGATATGGTAGTTTGGTGACTCACGTGTTGAGCAGTCTTTACCAGTGAAACCAGGAGGACACTGACACATAGCGAGCTCCTCCTGCACAGAGCAGGATCCTGAACCGCAGGGGTTTGGATCACAGGGGTCGACAATTGCTATAATATGGATAATGTGAATATGGTAGGTTTATTTTTGCCTTAGGAAACAGTATTATATCAGCAGAATTACAGCAAAGTAAACAGCTAAACCACATACCTTCCACTACTTCAGGCTGCTCCACTACAGCAGGGGTTGCTAATGACACTGACGGTGCTGTGGTTGGGCTGGTGTAGGCTGCATCTGGAGTCACTACATACACTGTAGGTCCAGCACGGCTTTCCTGACCCTCCTCCCCGAGTCCTGATTGGCCGAGACTGGCAATGTACTCAGTGTAAGTCACCTTCGATCCCGGCGGTAAGGTGACAGAAAGCTTCTCAGCGTTCGTTTTTTTATCAGGGGCTCCGCTTCCTGAGAAATGCAAGCTTTGGTCCAAAGTGCCACTGAATTCATGATGGATCCCTGACCCACTTCCTTCCCCACTGACCTCCACCACCCCACGGCCCTGCTCAGGGTAGCGCATCGGTGGTGGGAAGGTCACCACCATCATTTCATTGTATGTTAGGGAGCTGACATCACCGCGATGCAGGATAAAGTCCCCAGAGGCAGAGCCTGAGACACCAGATGGAAAACCAGATGGAAAACCACTTGGAAAGCCGCTGTGGAACCCGGATCCAAAGGGGTGATATCCAGACACCTCCTGCTCACCAGACGGCTGGACTGTCAGGTCAACGGCACTGTGGTCAACAAATGAGATGCCAGAAAATTCACCGGAGCCCGACCCGGACATACGTCCAGATCCGGAGGTACTTGATTCCAAGAAAGACCCGCTGGTATCAATGCCTCCCTGGCCTAACTCCTGCTCAGTGGGTTTTTGGTGAGTCTTCGACACCTCCTCCATCTTCCCATCCACCATGATGATTATAGAGTCTCCGCCACTACCACTGATGTCCCCACTTCCACTGATAAAACCTGATCCAGATACACTGAAGCCAGAGTGTTGAGTGTCAAACCCGTCCCCAGATCCAGATGCACTACCCAGTTCGCCAGATGTGACGATGACAGCACTTCCCCCTTCCGCCTCCTGCGGGCCTCCAGAGGCGGACTGATCTCCGGAGAAGACGTCCGTGCTTCCGCTGAAGATGACGTTCTGTCCCGAGCCGGAGGCGTCACCACTGGTACCGGAGGTCCCGGACTCCCCTGAGATCTCCCCGCTGGCTGAATGATCAGCTGAACCAGAGCCGGACACATCAACAGGGCCTGGAGGTAAAATGGCTTTCACTAGGGAAAATATTAAGAAGATTTAAGAGTCTATTAGATTCTTTATTTCTTATGTCCTTGTGTTTAGCTTTATTGAAATCTTATGTATATCTGTGGCCTTTTCATTCACACAGTTTTTCCTTTTGTCTTACCAGTTAGAGCAACTTGCTGAGTTGTCATGGTTGTCTTGTTGATAAACTCCTCGATTTCAGTAATATTTACATGGGTTTCAGTTTCATTGTATTCTCCAGTAGTTTCAACTAAAAAGAGATGATGAAGATGCATATAAATATCAATGATAATATTACACAAACAAAACTAAAAAACATTATTTGAGATAATAATCAGGACCATGTATTTTGAGAAATATTAAAATTGTAAGGTAATGACATGGACCTAGGAGAACAGCTTTTATCCATCTGTCTCACCTGTGGGAGCAAAGTAATCAACTGTGACTGTTATCTTGTTGATGACATCCACCGTCACGATTGTCAGATTCACACTGGTTTCATTTTCAAAGTGAAAAACTTCAGCTGGAAAAAAAGAGAAGTTTTAATAAATGGCAATAACAACTTATGTTGGTGAATTTGGCTGCAAGGAGTGCTGTTAAGGAGACTTTGTTATTTAGGCGAGTTCATTATCTTCCTTTAAAATCAAAATGTAACCACACCTTCACTACCTTTAAAACAGTAGGCGTCGTAGCGTGAGTGCTCATCAGGAAATCCTGTCTGGTTGGGGAAGGCGTAGATAATGTGGACCCCGACCTGACCGCCTCCACAGTGGGACCTGGGGGTTGTGATGGGGTAGCGGACACTGCGGTCCATCAACCAGCCTGGACGGCACTTGTCAAGCCCTTGGTTCCAGGCAGCAAACAGCTGCCCAGTGGTGGCCAAGGTGGTGTTGAGTTTCTGACAGTGCTGCACAGCTTCCTCATAGGAGAAGCTGTCATAGTCACTGGTGAAGAAGACCTCACCTGGAGGAAGCATTCACAAACATTCAGAGGAGCTCAAACATGCCAGATACAATAGCTAGGTAGGTATTTACTATATTACTATATTTAAGTGATTGGGCTCATCACCTTGCAGACGTTCCACATAACAAAATACATCGTAATGTTCGCTAGCTGGTCTCAGGCCGTAGGATCTGACTCCTGGGAGGTGTGGCAGATTACCAGCACAGTTATCTCTGGGTGACACGATGGGGTACCTGAGCATAAAAGAGGATATTGGTTAAATATATTAAAGCTTTGCTTTTCCACAATAGTCCATCCAGGACTCACAATATATTGGTCTATCTCCTGAAACACAGGCTTTATGTTTACCTGACAGTCTGGTCGCGGAGCCAGCCAGCATCACATTGGTGCAGGCCTTTCTCGAAGGCTGCCTGCAGCTGCAGGTGGCTGGCGATGACCGCCCCGACACTCTGGCAGGCCTGCTGAGCCTCCACAAAGGTCAGAGTGTACCGACCGGTGATGGGTCGGTAGTGGAACACCACACCTGGGACATGAGAGGGAGGGAAGAAAAGAAACACAATAGGACTGAAGGTAAAAAATCTCATTTGATTCTTATTTAAGCTTTGCCTACTTTGTTACCACCCATCTTTATTTTGCTGATGATGCTTTTTCCCCCCACAGATGCAGTTTGTGGTCATTTATTCATAGTTCTAAATTTAACAAAAACATACACATGGGGAAAGTACTAAATATAACAGTGCTGATAGTTGGATCCTGCTGCTGGAATGCTTGGATGTAGTTTTGTTAGGGTATTGCCTACTTTTGCAACCTGAATAGCTAACAGAAATATTGTTTTTTGAGTTAGGCATCTCCAATAATATTGGAATGGGTCAACATAGCATAAAAGTTGCAGCCGAGTTTTGTCTTTTGTGTCATCAAAGGCATGGATTTCCACAGATACTTTAATTTTGGGAGGAGGTGAAGGTTCAGCCTTCTAGATTTCAGTTGTCAGGATTTGATATCGACCAAGTACACAAGCAACTTACCTGTGGGAGCCATGGCAGCATCTACGTCTGTCACACTGGGCGGGGCAGGCAGTGGGGTGAAGGTGTCGACTTCTCTACGCTTGATCTCCTCTCCCGCAGGTGAGGGGGTGAGACTCGGGTACATCCCAGGGGCGGTTGTCATGTGGATGATGTCTGGGAAAGATGGAGTCCTGACGGGCACGACACCGACATCCTCACCAGCTGAGGAGACAAGATTGCATAATTCCTTGATAGAATCGACAGTTTTAGGGAAGAAATCAACCCATAAAATAGAGTTAATACCAAACAGATATGAGTTAAGATGTCAACAAAGAAGCTCCCAGAACACTTATCAAGTATCTCCTGGTAGATTTGTTTTCCTCAAATCTCCAGGAAGGATTTACCTTGGAAGCAGACAGCATCGTAGTGAGAGTCAGGGTAGGGGTATCCTGTCTGGTTGGGGAACAGGTAGACGGTTCTCACTCCGATGAGCCCCCCTCCACACTGAGGCCTGGCGATGTTGATGGGGTAGCGTACACTCCTGTCCGCCAGCCAGCCAGCGTTACACACATCCATGCCACCCTTCCAGGCCAGGTAAAGCTCCCCGGTGGTGGCAAGTCTGGCACCGAGTTTGGCACACTGATCTCCTGCTTCGTAGAAGCTAAACTTCTCTACAGACATGGAGTAGAAGACCCTGCCTGGGAGGAGAGTGGAGAGCAGAAGGGAGATAAACACGTTGACATGACTAGTCCACCATCCTGTCTACGCTACAGAGGTTTCATATGTCAGGTAGCTTTGGTACCCTTGTTAGATAAATGTACCTGACAGCTTCTCAGCAAAACAGTACACGTCGTAGGTCTCGTTGACATCTCTCACACCATACGTTCTCACGCCGGGGAAGTCCTCCTTGTCTCCAAAGCAACGCTCCCGCGGCTCATGGATGGGGTACCTTGAAAGGTCAAAACGTTGGTCAGCAGATGGACTTACATGAAAAGTCAGTAACAGCCTCAGTTCTTTTACTATGTTATTTATTGTGAGTCTGTTGATACGTAAAATACAATTTTTTGTTTTATAGCCTATTATTGAAAATAAATCTCACCCAGATTCGAACTAGCCAAATGAACTACGGCTTGTGAAAGCCCTCTTAAGCATACCTTGTCTTTGACTGCTGATGTGTTACTCAATGGACATTTAACAACAAAAAAGACCTCGGGTTTGAATCTGTGAGTCAGCATGTAATTTCCTCTTTGTTTCTGTATGGCCTTTCTCTGTGTGTTTTGATTTCTTCCCACAGTCTAAAGACACTCAGGTTTGATGAATTAGAAACCCTAAATTTCCCGTAGGTGTGGCCGTAAAGTTGTTTGATGGCGACCTGTCCATAGTGATCAGTATAAGCAGATTAGAGTAACACTACCTGACAGTCTGGTCAGAGAGCCATCCGGCATCGCACTGATGGTATCCGTCATCGTAAGCGGCCTGCAGCTGGGCTGCAGTGGCGATGGTTGCACTGTTCTGGATGCAGGCTGCCTTCGCCTTCTCAAACGTCAGGGTGTAGCGGGTGGAGATGGCTCGGTAGTGGAACACAATACCTGTGAGGTACGGAGAGCGAGCCGGAGACATAAGAAATGTGATGAAATATCTTTGAAGTCATTATGCCAATTTCGATGAGCTCTTTTCAACATTTGTGCTTGAATTTCGTCTGACCTCTATGAGCTTGATGAACCAGTGTGCCGTTACAACTCAGACCGATTTATGCCATGGACACTGGTTTATACCCAACCAAAAACCAAACGGAGGCGGAGAGTTAAACCTGCAGCCAACGATATGATTTCCGCAATTTCAAAAGGACTTGATCTGCTTTTTTGACAGGTTTTCTCCTAGTGTACATGAGCATTGTTTGAACCTTTTTCATCCTGTAAATCTTTAGTTTGAGCCTTTGAACCTTTGACACAGAACTGCAGGGTCTAAGTTCTATAAACAGAAGCTTGCCATGTGGTGAGTGGATAATGACTTTAATACCGTAGTGAAGTAAATTGAATGAAACATGTTTCTGTGGCGTACCCTGAACCCGGATGTCCACAGAGTCATAGTTGTCCTCAATGCCATGCATCACCTCGCAGCGGTAGGTGCCAGAATCTTTGGACCTCAGTTCTGTTATCTCCAAGGTGGCGTCAGTGGACACCAGCGGGTAGTTGATCATCGTCACTCTGTCCAAATACTCTGTCTCCACTTGAACTTTTCCCTCAGACGCCACCAGGATCGTGGTGACTTTCTCCTTGGTGACGTATGTCCATTTGATGCGGTGGGAGAGCGGGGCGAGGGTCGGGGCTCCGGGGTCATTGACTGTGTTGTCCTGGAAGTAACAGGGCACCACTACCTTGCTGCCCAGCAGAGGACGGAGAGGCATCTCCATAGGGATGCTGACACGCAGAGTGCCATCCAATTCTACGGTAAAGATAGGTCAGGATGTTAGTCTTTGTATTCTTTAATGAAGATACAACCTAATGATAATAATACATTTACAAACTGCTTTACTTTTTTTATTGTTTTATACTGCTTGTCACTTTTTGGGGAAATGTTACATCTCTAGAAATGATTAGGAAAATAATTTGAGGTTGGTTAAAAAGAGACTAAAAGTGAGGTAAGAATAGAACAAAAATAGCCAAATAAATAAATCTGATTTGGCCAATACATCAGCAGCATATTTAATTAGGTTAGAACAAACTAAATGTCTGGAGACACGTATTTAATTTGTGTACTATGACTGTGAAGATAAGAAGCCATCTGACTAAACCACACTTACCGTCATGGTTTTCAAGCTCAAACAATACTGTTGCCGAGATGAGGGGCAAGGACACACACAGCAGAAGCAGGGGGGTCATGATTACCTGAAAAACAACCAAAAGGACGACACTGATATCAAATTTGTGTGGACGATATGATGCATGACAGAAAGGACGGGCAGAGCTCAAAGTTACAAAAACCATTTAAAATGTATCGTCATATTTGGCCTTTTCAACCCATACATAACTTACTGATCAGACGGCTAAGTATAGAGGGATTACAAACAGGAAAACGTCTTAATGAGAGATGCTGCACTGAATGAACAGAGAAGCAAGTGTTAGAATGAATCAGTGGGTTTATTATAATTTCCTCTGCTCCTGAATGCCACTGTGTTTTTTCCCTAACTCCTGTACGCTTCCATTCATATTCCATACGATCCAGGATACGCAGTGCATTTGGTTATTACGTCAGCGTCGTTGGCTAAAATGGAAAGCGGACGTCAGGAGTCTCTGTCATTTGGAAATACCATACATGCTTGTTGAGGAATGAAAGCCCCTCTGTCTCTGGGCACAGGAAATGTCTTTAGTGCTAAAATTAGGCTCAGGGCTGAGAGGGACAAATGAACCTCACTAACTGTTCTTTCTTTGTCTCTATGTCTGCGTGCATACGGAGTATTTATAGTATCTGTGCATGTATGAAAATATAATCTGCTGCTCAAACTGTTCTCAGTATCTCAAGTATTTCTGGGTAGAAGCAGAGAGTTTGTTTTTCCCATGCTATAAGCCAAATATCCCGCGGGAAAACTGCTGTGAAGTTTGAAATTATTTGTGCTTTTATGAAGTTGAGTTCCTTTTTAGTTACGTTAGTGTCATTACTCTTGGGAGAGAAAAGTCGGTTGGCCCATCACTTTGGTCCAGACTTAAATAGTTTCATAACTACTTCAATGCCATTTTAAGCCAGTATTGATGGGGTGCAGAGGATGAAGAATAAGGGGATCCTCTAACTTTTCCTCTGTTAACCTTCTATCATCAGGTCAAAATTGAAATTTGTCAAATATTTTGGTTTATGACCAAATTCCTGCAAAACTAATGACATTCCCATCAATCTCAGCTGTACTTATTGTGCTTACTGCTAATTCTAGCACGCCGATATGCTAAACTTAGACGGTGAACATCACTCTTGCTATACATCAGTTTGTTGTCATTGCTGTTGTCATTTAACTCAACGCTCCACTGGCTGCATGGCTTAGTCTTGCTTTCTTTTTCTGTTTTCTGTAAATTATAAATTGATTTACCTCCTACGATCAAATGTTGCTTTTTAGGGTAAAACAAACTGTTTTTTCATCTATATCTTTTTGAGACAAAAGTCAAATTTGACCTTAATTAAATAGAGTTCACCAACTGGCTACTTCGGTCAGCTCTGCTATCACAAACCCACATCTGTCAAACACTGATTACCACATTGCTTATTTTCTCTCAGCATTCCACTGCTGTGACACCGTTGAGAGTCCCAACTGAACCCTCATTGTGCTGCATTCATTGCTAGAACACATTCAGTTAATTTCTAAACAGCCACACAGTGTCGTTTACAACCAATAAACCTGCAGCTCACAGTAGCTGACCTGAGGTTGGCAGCCTGGTGAAAGGCTAAAAAAGAGTTTTTTAAGTTCAACTGACTCAGCATATAAACCAAGATCATATTCACTGTAACACACTGGTAGACTATGAATACTGTTTGTCTGTGTGTGCAAACTGCATGAATGTCTGTGTGTGTGTGTGTGTGTGTGTGTGTGTGTGTGTGTGTGTGTGTGT